TCTAATTTATTGAGATGCACCTGTATATATATATATATATATATATATATATATGTGGTTGTTGTTTTTTTAAAGTAAATTATTATTTAAAATTATTATTGAAACTCCCTGATTTTGTTGTGTCAGACATATATAATGACATGGTCTCTCTTCATAGGCCTAACACAGAGGCTCAGCGATTCCCTGATGTGTGTATAATGTCATTTTGTAATTAAATATAATCTAAAAGTGATATGAGGGCGTTGAGTTGCGTTGACGTTCCATATTGCGCTCACAGATTTGAGCACTAACAGTTATAGCACAACACATCCTGTGTGAACTCCTGCCTGCCTCCCTCTGCCCTGGCCGAGAACCAGCAGTGAGACCATCTGCTCTTCTCTTTCTCTGCTTCTCCACCCTTCCATCCATCCATCCCTCTCTGGCCGCTCTCTGTGCTTCAGCTTGCGGGCTCAGTACGGCACCGAGACTCTTTTGAACGCTCTACACGGCAGCAGCGACAGCGAGCAGGCCAGCAGGGAGCTGGCGTTCTTCTTCCCCAGCTTCAGGATGGCGATGGCGGACTCGGGCTCGGAGCGGGCCGGGCCGGAACAGGAGCATGTGGAGAGGACGCTGGCGCTCATCCGTCCAGACGCTGCCAGGGAAAACAGAGGCATGTGCCAACATTACGTTTACACGCGCAGAACTGCGGCCCCGTGGGCGCAGACAGATTCTCCTGCATTCAATGAGAACTTTAAACTGAAGTACTAGTTACAAGTTTGGACACACTTGACTCAATTTATTTCTCATGAACGTTTCATCTAAAGCCACAATGTAACACTTTGAGTCAACCAACATATGACTGACATTTATTGGTCACGACAACATTTCAGTGTTATTATAATAGTATTACTATATTATAGTATTATAATTTGAATTAATTCATAAAAATATTTATTGATTTTAAATATAATACTTTATGTAAATATGTTTTTATTTTCAGTTTTCATTTTCATTTTATTTTAGGGTTTAGTAATTTTGTAATGTGTTTTACCATTTTATTTATTTATTTTTTAAATATTCCTATTTGGCTTTATTTCCATTTCAGCAATGTTTTAAGCTTTTTTTTTCAGTTTTCATTTAAATTTTAGCTTAAATGTTAGTAATTTTGTTATGTGTGTTTGCTTTATTTTATTTATAATTTTATTTAGCTTTATTTTTATTTTAGAACTTAAACTTATTTTATTTCAGTTAGTTGCCAAGGCAACATTTGTAATTTTTCCATCTAAAATATTATATTTTATTTCACTTTTAAATTTTATTTCAGCTTTTTTTTTAATTAACTGAAACAAGTTTTAGTTTTAGTTAACAATAACAACACTGCTCCATTTACGTTATTTTGTAGTTTCGATGACTTTACTGTTATTCCACAATGTGTGAAACTGTCCTAATAAAGAATGAGCAGATGTGTCCAAACTTTTGACTGCTAGTGCAGAGTAATTCAATCGGAGCGCTTACGGTCAGGAAGTAAAGTGTAGATGTGTTTGTAGAGGAGATTCTGGGCCGGATCCATGAAGCAGGATTCACAGTGGCCATGCAGAGAGAGCTCATGCTGTCTGAGGATCAGGTCAGGCAGTTCTACAGCGATCATCTGGAGCAGGAATATTTCCCCAGCCTGCTGGAGAGCATGACCAGGTGAGCGATCGCACACATCACACATCTGATGCTGTGGAAAAGCAGTAAGCCACAAGAGGCTGTGCGAGTCAAGCGGTTTATTAAAACAGCAGCATCAGTGATATGATAACAGAGTCAGACACCAGTTTTCAACATATACAGTACAAGCATGCATTATTAATAATCATTTGAATTATTGCCAAGCAATGTCATTTTCTAGTAGTTTCAGAACCAATCAGAACCCTTCAGACTCATCCAAACAGAATACAGAATTAGCAGTATCAGTGTTCTGTTACATGGCTCCCTGCACCCCAAAAATGAAAATTGTCATCATTTACTCTCCATCATGTCGTTAGAAACCTGCATGAATTTCTGTATTCTGCTGAATGGCTGCCAGGAACTGTGGGTAACCTAACAGTTGCTGGTACCCATTGACTTCCATTCTATGGGAAAAAGTACTATGCATGTCAGTGGCTACCAGAAACTGTTTATCAACATTCTTCAAAATATCTTGTTTTTTTTCTTTGTAACAACTTATGGGTGAGTAAATGATGACAGAATTTTCATTTTTGGGTGAACTATACCTTTAAAATAATTCAATATGGAAATTAAATACATTTGAAAAGCTTCAGCTTGAGATTTATAGTTATTAAGGCCAGTTTCGCAAAACAGCACACAACGGCATTTTTGAACAGTTGGATGTCAAAACATAGTTATTATCGTTACTTAACATAGTAACAAAATTTTTTAATAAAAAAAGTAGAATTTCAAAACATTTTCATTACTTAAAATAAATATTATATTTGTATATATATACACACACACATATATATATATATATATATATACATGTTTTTGTTACTTAAAATAAATGTAGAATGCAAGATTTCTCACTTTTGTTTTAACTAAAACTAAATAAACTAAAGCTAATACATAAAAATGTATAAATACTATAAAGACATATTTATAAAAAATCACTAAAAATTACAAAAACACAACAAACACTAACAACTTTAAAATTACAGTGAAAACAAAAGATGACTATATAATCTAATTCAAAACATTAACAAAAACTACAATAGTATATCAGTGATACTGAAATAACACTGTGTCAAAATGATAATTATTAGATATAAAGTATACCATTCATTCTGAATTATGAATGCTGTCTTATCGAATCTGTAGAGGACAGTAAAAAAACAACAAAAAAACAAGTGATTTTTATCTTCAATTGAAGCGTAATTGTAATCTTGGATACATAGCTGCTAATTGCATATAAATGCTGTGTAAATGAGGTAAAGAAGCCAGAAGACTCACAGCGAATGTCTGCTGTCGTTCACAGCGGGCCTGTGTTAGCACTAGCGCTAGTGAAGGAGCGAGCCGTAGAACACTGGAGAAACATCCTGGGACCCAAAGACCCCATCCAGGCTAAGACTGAGCAACCCAACAGGTAAATGATATTTATAATAGTTTGATCAACTCAATGTGTTGTTGTATATCATCATATCATGTTTATGTATCATATATGTGTTTAAATGGTCAGTGCGTTTGTATATGTGGTTCTGATCTAGTCTGCGAGCCCAGTTTGTCTCTGGCAGCTCCAGCATTAATCAGCTTCACGGCAGCGGAAGCTCAGAGGAGGCGGAGAGGGAGATCGGCTTCTTCTTCCCACCGGAGGACACGCTGGCCGTCATTAAACCTGACACTGAACACAAGGGTATCGTTTCAGCAGTCACTCTGAACACGGTGCAAAGAGTGGAGAGGGATATTAGCTCCGTGTTTGAGCTGCACGGTTCACACGTGCTTTAAATGCAGCTAGATCACAGCAGTGCTGACAAGAGGGAAGCTTTAGTTTAAGTTTGAGCTTTTGGTTCTTTGTAAATGAAATACCGTATCAGAAACACACAGAAATGAAAAAATGTAAGAAAGGCGGCAAATTATGTATGCAAATATGATGCCAGTTACATTTTGAAAGTTGAAACGATGCCAATGGGAGATTTAAATGTTTTTTCCTTAACTTTTTGAAAAGTAGAATGTTTACAAAAACAGTTAACAGATACAGAGTCTTAACTTTGATAAAGAATATCTCTGTGGTTTTGAGACTGTAGTCTTTGCAACTTCAGGGATCTTATCTATGCACAATCAGCTTGTAACACTCCAAAGAGAAAGGAAAACTTGAAATCGCATCATATGACCCCTTTAATGTACAAATCAGTCTGAATGAAGTCAGAATGGATTTATTGTACAAAACATAATTAATAGTTGCAGCTAGAGCTTTTGAAGAAAACCAAATCCGAATGATTTAGAAATATCAGTACGGCAATGCTTCTCAAACACTATCGACATGAAAAGAGAGAAATACTGCTGAAATATAGCGCAAACTAAAAGTTCAAACAGTTTGCGGTCGGTAAGACTTTGAATGTTTTTGAAAGAAGTCTCTTCTCACCAAGGCTGCATTTATCTGATCAATAGATTAATATTATTCCAATTCAAAATAACTTTTTTTTTTGTATGTGAATATACAGTAAACTGTAATTTATTTCTGTGATCAAAGCTGAATTTTCAGCATCATTACTCCAGTTTTCAATGTCACATGATCTTTAGAAATCATTCTAATATGCAGATTTGCTGCTCTGCATAACATTTCTGATTATTATCAATGTTGAAAACAGTTGTGCCGCTTCATATTTTTGGGGAAACTGTGATGCATTTCAGGACTCTTTAATGCATAGAAAGTTCTAAATAGAAATATTTTGCAACATTACAAATGTCTTTACTGTCACTTTGATTAATTTAATGCATCCTTGATGAATAAATGTGATCATTTCTTACTTTATTAAAATCTTACTGAAATACTGGTGTATATAAAAATTAAAAAGTAAGAATATTAATGAAATGAGGAACTCGCTGTTTATTTTGTCTGCTTCTGCTCACATCAGAGGAAATCCTGGAGGAGATTCGGGCCAGAGCATTCACCATCTCCCGTCTGAAGGACACGGTTCTGTCCAGAGAGATGGCGGAAGAGTTTTATAAAGAGCACAGAGACAAACCGTTCTTCAGTCAGCTGGTGGATTACATGTGTAGGTGAGTTCGGCTGAAACTCAACTGGAAGGTTTCACGCAGGACATAGGTAAGATAAAACGTGGTTCATTTTTCTGCAGCGGCCCGTGTACGATGATGGTTCTGACGAAGGAGAACGCGGTGGACGAGTGGAGGGCGGCCATGGGCCCGACGGACCCCAGCGAGGCGAGACAAACGGCCCCGGAGTCTCTGAGAGCGCGCTTCGCTAAAGACATGCTGGAGAACGCCGTCCACGGATCCTCCAACACTCAACACGCACACCAGAAGATACACTTCATCTTTGGAGACATCAGCTCTGAGAGCGTGATCATCGACGGCGCCGCTTCTCCTCTGTTAGGTGCGTGAAATGATCAAATGCTCCTCCATCTGTTGAGCTAAAAGTTCACTGTACCGAGAAACAAAATCTAAATCAGATGTTTTCATGTGGTGATAAAACACATTGTATTTACATCATATAACAGGGTTTCTCCAAGTTTTATAAAATTAAATTTAAGACGTTTAAAGACCTTTTTAAGACCAATAAATTAAGGGGAACACAATACGGCAAAATGTTCTCTAAATGGAAATGTCTACGGAGAAAACTATGAGTTGCATTAGCAGCACTGCAAAGTTTGAAAATACAACTTCTAACCACACATATAATTGTCCACACACACAAAAAACAGCTTAACTAGAAAATGGAATGAACTTTTACTGTAGCATCTGGTCACACTGATCTTGTTTTCCAGTGCAAATGTCAAAAAAATTCTTAAATCAAGATGCAAAAATGACGTTTGATAAAAAGTCTCGTTTTCTGAGAAATGTATCAAAATGAACTGAGTTTGTGTATAAAAAAAAGGGACAAATATCTGCCATTGGGCTCAGAAAAATCTACTTGATTCAAAGGGAAACCAAGTTTTCATTCCCCATTGACAGATATTTGTTTTAAGCATAAACTCACTTAATTTTGTTCAGTTTCTCAAAAAAAAATCTTCATTTTGCATCTCATGTCTTGAATTAAGGATGTTTAGATATTTATATTGAAAAATCAAAACAAAAACAAAATACTGAGGCAGATCTTGTATAAATGTACATAATTTTTAAGAACATTTAATGAATGTCCTGCTATCTATAGAAACAGTGGAGAGCTTTGCAGAGCTCAAGAATCTACAAGCTTCCAGATCTCCATCATTTAATGACGCGAGGAACCAGACAGAGCCGAGCTCAACAGGTTCAAAACTGAACAAACACGTCTAAACATATAAACTCTCTCATTATTTATTCACCCATATGTTGCTCCAAACACGTACTCTGGTATTTGCCCGTCACTATGAGCTGTCGTTGCACATACAGAATAAACCAGTGAGTAAATAATAACAGAGATTTGATTTAAGGTCAACTGTTCCTTTAGTCCTTTAGGGTTTCCTAAACGGGGGTTCGAGAGTTGATGAAAAGCAAATCAACTGGATAATTAAAATAAATAAATTGGGCTTCACATTTGAAATAAAACTGAAATCCTGATATAGCCTACAAAAGTACTTTTAGTCCGTTAACTAAAAGTGAAAAGGTGACACAAAAGTCAGCATTACCCTTCCTCTCCACCTCCAGAAGCTGCTGAAGAAATGAAGCCGGAGACGACAGAGAGTCAGACAGCTTCCTCTGATGAGCCCGAAGCACAAGAGACGCCCTCATCCAGCCCGCAGGACGCAGGTCTTTATTTCAATGAGTGATGCACACGTCAAGAACAAGTTTAGTCACTGATCCTTCAGACATGTTTTGGAAACAAAACATGTGAGATATTAAGGAAACGTTTTATAAAACCAAAGTCAACCTTCTTCCTGAAGGTCCATATTTCAGCATATGATTCTAGGTAATTATGCTCTTTTTTTTTTTTTTTGTCACAACTATTATACATTATACAGTCCTGTCACCCACTATAAAGAAATGTATATGTAATAATTTCACTCATTTTAAATAGGTCCTATTAATAGCTAGCAAAAACAGAATGGCTGATGCATTTTAATACACAGATTACATGCAAAATACTGTCAAAGTGATCAGATTGAGGTACAGCAGGGCAAAACTGAATACTAATGGATGACGCATCCAAGCGTAAATGAGAAGGATTAATCAGAAATTATTCCTTTGGTGAATTAACTTTCATTTATTTCAGCTCTGTACTCTTTTTTTTTTTGCCCCATGTCTCAAGATTGAGTAATCTGTTAATCAAACACATGATTAACATTAATCACACAAAGTCAGTAATCTTATTCTGGAATGATAAATAAACTTTATTTCAACTTTTACTTGTGAGGTAAATGTGATGAGAAGTTTGTCTTCTGTATTTCAGGGGATCAGGGAAATGTATGAAATCTGTACAATCATCTGTCAAAGAACCAGACGGATAAAGGTGAGGTTACGTGATTAACTTACATCAAAAACATTCATGAGAAGCAGTGTTACTGTAATTAAACGACAGGGTAATCTGATTCACAAAGAAATGACTCGTTCAAAGAATCAGTTCTTACAAGGTCTCAAACTATATTTGATGTAATTAAGCTGTAAGTGGGTTTTTAGTATCAATGATACACTATTGTAGTTTTGAGTTAATTTAAGCTAATTTGTTTATTAATGTCTATATAGTTTTAGTTATTTTAGTACTTCAACTTAACTAAATGAAAATGAATTTTGAAATGTATTTTTTATATTTTATTTGAAGTTATTGTTTTTAATTGTAGTTAATGATAATAACCCTGTTTGGAAGACATAATGATATGATGGTTTCTTTTGTTCTCCGTCAGTTTGGATCTGAAGGCAGCTATAAATCATCTCATATGAATTTACATCCTCTTGTGAATTAAACACTGTGAAAACACTCTTGTCTGTTTTTATTCCTTATTAATTATTTGGTGAAAGGCTGATTAGTTTGGTTGAATCTGACAGCGGTTTCAAAAATCTTTAGGCTTTATTTAGTCATTTTGTGACGAACAAAAACAAGTCCAGTGATTGGTTTTCAAAGCAACTGAAACAATTCATGTTATTTTATGCAGAAATGTGCATTCTTACTGATCTTGATCAACTAAAGCAAGCATCTCCTCCTCATCAAAGGACCTCTGGAACATCTCAGTGATGGTCAGCTGATGAGGATCCTGACAAACAGGGAAAAATGCATTTTTCTCCAGCGATGGCAGATATGTTCAATAACGATTTCAATTTGCATTCTTAACTGTTTTGCCATATTTATGCAGATATTTACCAACTTTGATTTTGAATTTATTTAAAATCAGCTAAATATATTCTAAAGCGTTCAACATTAAGCGGAAAAATAAATAATACAAATAAATAAAAGTGCAATGGAAGTCTACAGTTATTTTATCGCTGGTTGAATATGATTGATTTTTAACCGTTCTAATGTCAAATGCAGATGGTAAAAAGACTGCATACTAACCTTGCTGTGAAAGCTGGCAGATTCTGCCTTCTCTGAAATGTTGGATTCAGACAAACCGACCTGCTCCAAAACATTCATCTTCTCCTGTATCATGGGCCTGAGAAACAGAAAACAGTGTAAAAACAGAGACAAGGCCAATCAGTGGCATCGTGCGTGTAAAACATGATAAAACAGAACTAAAATTAAGAACCCACCGAAGAAATAAACTAAAACTAAACTGAATTTTAAAGTTAATTTGAAAAGAAGGATTAAGATAACAAACCATTTACTAATAAAAAACAACTTTTTTTATTTAAAATAATATTCTTATTTTTTTTATAATTATAATGGTTAATATTTTGAAAATTTGACACGTCCTATGGGTAAACTTGTTTTAAAATTAAACAATTTAAAATTGTTGTAGTAACCATTTAAACTGAGAGCAAAAACTGTGATTTAAAATGGATAAATAAATAAAATAAAAGATGACCAGTTACAGCTTGTAATGTATATATGATACTAAAAATTCACAATTATTGGAAAAATTAAGCAAAAATTGGGTTTTCATTTTTTGCAACAAAACCATATACAAAAACCATCATTCCTCATATAAAAAGATTTTTATCAACTGAAAATAATAACAGCAAGTAAACTAACACTAAATCTAAACATAAAACTGGTTGAAAAATGAAAAATAAACAAAACAAAAAAAGTCATGACAGTGCCAGATTAAATTGATAGACTCATGACAGACTCTGGTTAATTTGATGATTTCACAAAAAATGTAAATAGTGAAAAATCCATTTTGGATGTAAATATTAACTGATTCCTTGCGCTTACTTATAAAAAAAAAAAAAACTGTCCATGAAATAAAATGCAACTGAAATTAACAATCCTTTGCGAAACTGAACTAAAACTAAACTGAATTTTAAAGTTAATTTAATAAATGTATTAAAATAAATAATAATTTACTAATAAACTAATAAAAACACAACTTTATGCATTTAATATTTTTTTTATAATTATAATGACTTGCTAATATTTTGGAAATTTGACATGCCCCGTGGTGTGACATCCTATGTTCCATTTAAAATTATTTTAAACAAAATTAAAAATTAAAGTATTCATTTAATATAATAAAAACAAATGAAGAAAAGGTGACCAGTTACATCATCTAATAATACACTTATGTTATAATAATACATTTAAAAAATATACAAATATTTATTTTTACTAACTAAAACTAAACTGAAATATAAAGCTAATTTAAAAGAAATATTAAAATAAACTAAGTATTCACTGAAGTATTCATTTAAAATGATAAAAAATGTAAAGAAAAAGGTGACCGGTTACAGCATTTGATAATACATTAATTTTATAATAAAAAAAAATAAAAAAAAATGAATACATTTATTTATATTAATTAAATAAAAATGTCAAAAATTACAAATATAAGAAAATATTTTACTTATTTATACAAATAAGTAAAAAGTAAGCAAATGAATGAATGAATGAATTAAAAGTCTTACAATTAAGCTTGAGATAAAGGTCTAAATTCAGGGTTCCCACACTTTACGACCAATGAATTTCCATGACTTTAAGTCGTGATTACTGAATAAGGACTTTTCATTTTTCGTTTTAATTTTTTAATTGTAACAAATAGCAATCTCAAGCCAATTAAATATTTTAGCGCATGACTGCGTCAGGTCTGGAGGTCAGAGTTTTCCCTCATGTCTCCAGGTTTTCACGCGTGTGGGAAGCCTGTAAATGTCTGGACTGAACATGTCTGCGTCTGTGTCTCACTCCGGGGTTCCAGAAGAGCTCGGCGAACACCACGAGGTCGGCCGAGTGCAGCGTGAGCCCCATGTTAGCGGCGGTGACGGACAGAACAGCCACGCAGCTCTTCTGTGATGACTGGAATCTGTCACACAGCTGCTGACGCTCCGCGGACGCCGTCGAGCCGTCGATACGAATGTAACTGATTCCCTGCACACAAACAGCACAGCAGTGCTCAGATAGTATCTATTCAACCCAACGTGTGACAGAAACCTGGTCCACATACGCAACATTTGATTATATTTATTAACCAGTTTAGTTAAGGACACTGGTTTTTTGTTGTTGTTTTTTTTTATGGTGACTTGCCAAAGTTACTGTGAAGGAAAATTAGGCACTGGCTAACTCTCTATCAAATGGAAATATTTATGTTTAATATTGTACATGCCCCCAGCCCCCTAAAATAAATAAATAAATACAAATTATATTATAAATAAAATAAATAAATGTGTCCAACATTTTGTAATCACATATCAATATGGCTATAAAATAATAATAAATAATAATAATTATTATTATTACTAAATAAAAATATACAAATAGTACAAAAAAAAAGCAAAATAAGAATTAAATAAATTACTCTTGTAATATTTCACTGTAAAATTGTGTATTTAGGAAAAAATTACATAATAATAATAATAATATAAACAAAACAGAAGAAAAAAAGAAAAAAATACATACAGGTTGATACCAATTATCTGCTAATTAATTGTGAAATGTACTAAACATGACTAAAACACACTACAGACTAAAGAAATGAAGGTATCACACATATGTCACCATGATGTATGGAGAAGAGCTTTACTGCAAAGTTTTAACTCATTATGAAAAGGAAGTCCACAGTTAAATATCAAATCAAATCAAATAAGCAATAACTGATAAGACCATGATATATTGTGCAGCTCACAATTAGGCTAATTTGTTTTTTACTGTTTTGAATTAATTCTAAAAATTCTAAATCAGAACATTACATCTTGGTCTGCTGGCAGCTGATGGCAAATGTTAAAACGTATTTTAGATTTTTGTGAAGAAACAGTCAACAGTCAAACAGACCTTCTCAGCGAGCTCTTTGGTTATACTGTCCAGCACCAGCTTGTGATGAGCAAACACCAGAAACTTCTCTCGTCCGCACTCCAGCATGTCTGAGATGTACTCCCTGAGAAACAGAGGCAAGCAGTCTTCATTTAGTAACTGATATACTATTATATCAATTATTAGTATTATTATTTACTTTTTTAAATAAAAATAAAATATATTTTTATATAAAATATTATATATATAATATAAAATATTAATTATTATTTATAGTTATTTAAAATAGTTCGTTATTTTTTTAAATGCTGTAACACACAGCTTTGAATATACCACTGATTTTATTAAACTATTGCAAAAGCTACATTATAAAGAGACCAGCTATTGATATAAATCATAAAAGTTCTTCCATCTTTAAATAAAGGTCTGTTTATGATTCATTCTAAATGCATTAATATAGAATGTATATTATAAAACGGAGAGTTCCGGTCCTTGATTCTGATTGGTTGAGCCAAGTTCGAAGCTGTTGTAAATTACTCTACAAACATACACCTTTGTTTACATTTGTGTGTTGCTCGGCAACCACTTCGTTGGAACCACAACCGTTTCTGAGGAACTACATTGTTTGACTGAAGAATACCGTTTTTATTAATATCATTACACATTATTTGCTGTTTTATTTTGTGAAACCTTACTACGTTTATGGAATAACCGTTTTTATAAAGCAATAAGCCCCGTGAAGCCGTGGTTTACAGTGAATTTATAACAGCTAAGGGGGTTTTAGGCACTCCGCTTCTTGTCGAGCCTAAAGGCCTGTTCACACCAAGCACGATAACTATAAAGATAACGATAAAGATATAGTTCTAAAAATCGTTCTCAGTATGAAAGAATAGCAGAGTCCACACCACAACTACAACGATAAAGGCACAGAGAAACGCTATCATTGGAATCACTTTCAGAACGAATTTCTCCAGCTGATGAACGATAAAAATTTTGACAGCCAATCAGAATCTATCCTGCTGTAACGAGCTCGAGAATTTAAAGCGGCAGACGAGCGTGCGCTTAGAATACACAGACGATATCGTTCGCTGGTGTGGACGCTAATATCGTTATCTTTATAGTTATCATTCTTGGTGTGAACGGGCCTTAACAACGCCCCCTAGCTGTTATAAATTCACTGTAAACCACGGCTTCTTGGGGCTTATTGCTTTATTTTACCACAGCTTCATTTTACAACTGTTTGCATCAAACTATTTGAATGTACATTAATCTTCTAATAATTATAAAACAGGCTTGTTCACACCCAGGATGATAATGATAACTATAATAATTAATAGGGAAGTTCACACTACAATGACAATGATACAGAGGAATGTCGATGTTTTTCCAGATGATTAACAGAATAAAATCTACAACAGCCAATCAAAATCCATCCTGCTTTAAAGAGCTTGAGGATTTAAAGCGACAGACGACAAAAACTGCAGCATGTGCTTAGAATACACAGAACATTGTTGTCTGTTGATGTGGATGCTTTTGAAGGAACTGCATGAAACTGAACTCAGCTGTGGTGTTTTTGTTTTTACGTACACGATGGCTCTGATCTTGGCCTCTGCTGTGTGGTTGAAGAAAACCAGGAGAGCTTCCTTCTCTTGTGACTTCTGCACATGAACACAGAAAAGCTCTGCTACAGTAACGGACACATGACACTTCACTCTCGTCTCATTCCAAACCCATATGCTGCTATGATGAATGACTCAAGATGAGAGTGAGTAAATATTGGCAGAATTCCTCGAAAGAAATGTTCAAATCAGACTTGTTTTCACAGCTGTATTGTAGTTGGCGCTCACGTTGTGGTATCCTCTGGCGAGCTCTTTGGCAGCAGCACTGAGAGCAGCTTTGGTGCGGGAGTTGATGCCGTCTGTCGTCACGGTAACCACCTTACGCTGTTTGGCGGGAAGCTGCGAGAGCACCTCTGATTTGAGGCGGCGGAGCATCAGAGACTCCTCCAGCAGCAGCTTCAGTTCACTCAGATGAGACGAGCCGGAGTAATCCCAGCCCCACGGTAGCTGCAGACACACATCCACACCGCTTTTCTACACCGTTTTCACATTTAGAACTACTTTTCTCAACAACAGTTTGCTCTTTTGACACTGTACTATGGCTGCATGATTTGGGGAAAAAAATCGAATTGGGATTTTTCTGATAAACATTGCAATTTAAAATGCACTTTTTAAAAATCCAGGTTTGCTGTGCTTGTTTGTAGGTCTGCACAATTTGGCCAAAACTGTGTGATTATTTCTCAATATGGCTATAACTAATAATAATAATAATAATAACAACAACAACGAAAACAGTTATTATTATTATTATTATTACAAAATAAAAAAATATAAATTACTAAATAAAAAACATATGAAATGCTGTTGTAAAATTTCACTGTAAAATCGAGTATTTAATTAAAAAATTATTTTATTTTACAACTATACTATAACTATAACTATAACTGTATAACTACAACTAGTACAACTATAATACTAATATTTATGGCTGTATCAATTTCTTCATTTTCAACTTTTTCCTGAACGTCAATGTACTAGGGCTGCAAGATTTGAAAAAAAAAAAAAAAATTTAATTTAAAATTTTCTGATTAAATTTGCAATTGCTATAAAAAAAAGAAAAATAAATTCCAGGTTTGCTGTGCTTGTATGTAGCGCTGCATAGTTTCACCAAAATGTTGTGACCATATACTGTATCTATATGGCTATAAACAATAATTATTATTATTATTGCTAAATAAAAATATAAAAATGACTACATAAAAACAAAATAATAACTTAAGAAATTACTGTTGTAATATTTAATTGTAAAAGAGAGTATTTAAGAAAAAGTATAGAAAACAAAAAATAAAATAATATAAATATAATAATAATATACATTTTGTTATAAATAATATTAATATTCTATTAATATTAATATAATAATATACATTTTATTTTACATTACCAAACTAATATTTATGGCTGTCTTAATTCCTTAATTTTCAAACGTTAAACTAACTTGCATTTTGATGGAAAACCACAGGGAGCCCTTAAAGCTTTTTTTTGTTGTTGATAAGCACTTGTCATTACAAGTAAGGGAAGATGGCTGGTGCCCGTTACGTTCCCAAATTAATGTTAAAGTGACTCAAACTCAGCGCAGATGCAGAGATGGAGTTTGTGTGAAGCAGCATTTGCTGTGAAGCGAGTCGCTCTGAGACGCTGAAAACACGGCGGATCATGAGCTGCTCACGTGTAAATGAACACAGTGCTTCACTCTCAAACATGCAGTGCATGTATTTATTTAATTAAAACACAGCCTTTGCGATTTAATAAGTGCACTAAGGCATATCACGATTTTGTTTTTATTTAAATTAACTGTGCAGCCCTACATTGCACTTTTACACACCTGTATACAGATGGACGTACCTGTTTGGCATCACAGTAGCGTGTGCCGAAGTCATGGAGGCGTGGAAACAGGGAAGGCCTCACAGCCAGGATCTGAGTGTAGAGCTCAGCAGGTCTGGACATGGCAGGCGTTCCTGACAGCAGGATCACTCTCTTAGCCGTCTGTTATCACCAGACAGACGTGTAATTAGCAGCATCACAGACAACGAAAACAATCGAATGACGTCACCTGAAATCCTCCAGTATGTACAATTCAAATCTAGTCTTCTCATATAAAACCTATCAATAAGTTTTATATGAGAAGTGCAGCTGAGTTGCAAAATCCATACAAGGTATGTGATCAGCCAAGGACAAAAATGAAGGAAAACCTCAACCACCACATTGCACTGTAAAATAAAAAATAGACTAAAGTATAAAACAATGGAATAAATTAAAATGACAATACTAATATTTATGATTGTCTTATTTTCTTCGCTTTCAAATGTTAAACCTTAAGGTTTTTATGGTTTTCTGGGCTGCATTTCCTAGCAAGGCTTTCTAAATCGGCAGCACAATGTCTGTGCAGTCTAGACAGACTTTAAACTTTAATAAACCAGGACAGGATCTACTAAACCACAGTGTTTTAAACTTCACCACTATGAATGACGCCTAAAATAAGCCTGAATCAGCAAACCTTCAGCAGAGGAAGAGCCGCCCGACAGCGGGCTGTTTTCATGTTCTTCAGGAAGTGAGACTCGTCCTGTACAACAAACAGAAAACAGGAGAATTCAATTCACATCCTGCGACTAAATCCACGCTTGAAGAGCTCAAAAAAACCTTTAAAAGTCTTAATATTTCAAGGTTATACATTGCTAGATGTAACTAGGTGGGATGGAACTACTGAGATTTTTTAATGTTTTTGAAAGAAGTCTCTTCTGCTCACCAGGGCTGCTTTTATTTAAATAAAATGCAGTAAAAACACTAATATTGTAAAAACATATTGTATGAACATATAGTAAAATGTCATTTATTTCTGTGATCAAAGCTGAATTTTCAGCATCATTACTCCAGTCTTCAGTGTCACATGATCTTCAGAAATCATTCTAATATGCGGATTTGCTGCTCAAGAAACATTCCTTATCAGTGTTGAAAACAGTTGTGCTGACGAATATTTTTCTGGAAACTGTGATACATTTTATTTTTCAGGAATCTTTGATGAACAGGAAGTTCAAAAGAACAACACTTATTTGAAATAGAAATCTTTTGAAACATTATAAATGTCTTTACTCTCATTTTTGATCAATTTAATGCATCCTATCTGAATAAAAATATCAATTTCTTAAAAAAAAATAAAATGTGAGGAAAAAAAATTAACTTAAATGATTTTAGCAAATGGCTGCAATATAACAAAGAGTGAAAAATTTAAGGGGGTCTGAATACTTTCCGTACCCACTGTATATATCTATCTTACTGGTCCCAAACTAAAAAGACAGGCATAAAATTAGTGAATTTTATGATTATGTAACTAAAGTCAGTAAATATTTTATTCCATAATAACTGAATATGATGTTAGCATTCAAATATTTTTAAAGAACTATTTTTTCAGGCATTTACAAGTGAAGTGAAGAAAATTTGTTTGCTGTGAGTGTTCATCACAAACTGCATTTGTTACACAAAAGCTGGACTCTCATACACACATGCACAAGTTCTTATCTAACTAACTTTCTAATGCAGTCAGTAAATGAGAGTCATTAAAAAACAAGTTTGCATGCTCTCACCATAATGATGACACTGAAAGGGCTGGATGGCTGCTGTTTGTCCATCCTGTTGAGCAGGTCATAGCTGATGATGTTGATGAGGCCGGAGCAAAGGTTGTCCTTGCCTGTAACCACCACATTAATGCTGTCGGCTCTGACAGATGGCAGCCATCGGCGGAAAGCCTGAGGGAAAAGAGCGAGAATTCACTTTGTCTTGAGGGCCTATTTCTTATATGACTTTCAAGCTCTTTTGAGGAAGGTTGAGTCGTGTGACTAAAGCCTGCAGAGGAACGCTGGAAACATTCACTGTTTCCCTTTAAACTTTAAAATACAACCTCACAAATCCCTGCCGGGAAAGAAGAGAACGTGTACTTCCTCAAGGGTGCAGTGATGGAAAATATGAATTAATAAATCAGATTTCACAACATGCAGTCTTAAAAAAATGGTTGAAAAAAACTGGCGACTGGTGCTTTTCAAGAGAGAAAAAACACAGATGCCATTTATTTTCAATAGCAAAATGTGTGCAGATCTTTTTTTTGGTGACTGCAACCTTGACAAAAGCTGCTTCGTTAACTACCACTGACATTACTAAATAAAAATAAACGATCAACGTCAGAACTCTGTTTTTACATTATTTACAAAAGAACGACAACTATGAACTATTGTAATGCAGAAAACAAGTGTGTTCCGTTACTTAAACAGTGCAGAAGTGTTTTACACTTTTATTCTCTAAAATTGAAATGCAAGAAAAGTAATTTTTAATATATTGTAAAAAGTTTATTAGGGCTTAGGTAAACATGTGACTGTTAATTTCTTTATTATAAAAGTCACAAGAATATAGTTAATTCTAACTATAAAAAAAATTGTTTTGGACGCAGTATTGTCTTTGAGTCTTTTTGAAAGAAATTTATATTTTTATTCATCAAGGCTGCATTAAATTGATCAAAAGTGACAGTAAAGATTTTTTCATCTAACAAAAGTTTCAAATAAATGCTGTTCTTTTGAACTTTCTATTCATCAAAGAATCCTGAAAAATAAAACGTATCACAGTTTCCACAAAAATATTGAGCAGCACAACTGTTTTCAACATTGATAATAATCAGAAATGTTTCTCAAGCAGCAAATCAGCATATTAGAATGATTTCTGAAGATCATGTGACACTGAAGACTGGAGTAATGATGCTGAAAATACAGCTTTGATCACAGAAATAAATTACATTTGAACATATATTCAAATAGAAAACAGCTATATTAAATTGTAATAATATTTATTGTTTTTACTGTATTTTGATCAAATAAATGCAGCCTTGGCAAGGGAAAAAAATCGTACCGACCCCAAACTTTTGAACGGTAGCATAGGTGTGACACGCATCCTCAAAAAGCATCCCTCTACAGTAAGAGTGTGTACCTCTGCCCATGTGAAGCGCACTGAGGACGGAGCGACCACCAGCAGAGGCCACTCACTCCTGTAGTAGGCAGCGATGCAGATGGCCTGGACCGTCTTTCCCAGACCCATATCATCAGCCAGGAGCAAACGGCCCTCTCTGGACACTGCAAAACTGACACATCAGCAAACATCACATTATATATTTACATTTTATGCACTTGGCAAATGCTTTTATCCAAAGCAAGTAAGCAAGCAAGTAAGCAAATTTTATTTATGTAGCACAATTAAACAAAGCAAAGTTATCCAAAGTGCTGAACAAAGTAAAGGAAAGTTAAATAAAACCAAACAAAACGAGCAATAAAACAAAAATAAAGTTAGTTTAAAATGCTAAGGAGTAGAGATTTAGGTGCAAGGCGGATTTCCAGAGGCAGCTGGTTCCACAGAAGGGGGGGCGGCAACAGAAAAAGCCCTATCTCCGTTAGTTTATAAACGGGAACGAGGCACAGATAAAAGAGCCCTGTCAGAAGATCTTTAAAGTCTGGTAGATGACAGAGGAATAAGAATAAGGCCACGTTCACACAGCAGAAGAATACGGTTGTCAGTCCTGTATTTGAGTCCTTAATACGGTGATGTTCACACACAGTACGGTTATTTTCAGGCGTGACAGCCGAATTCTGTAACCAAACTCACACCCGTAAATTTTCAGGACTCACAACTGCATTCTCGGAACACACGCGCTGTGTGAACGGAACTGGACTGAACAACTAGTTGTCTGTCACATCTTACAGCGCGAGAGAGAGCCGCTCTGCTGCACAAACGCGTGTCTACCGTGAGTTGAAAATGTAACTTATGCCCAGTTCAGACTACGCGATTTTAGCCCGATTTTGCCACGATTTGCTTGACGTAGGGTGTCGTGGGGATTCGTAAACGACAATGGGGAGGAAAGGTTCGTGGAGCTGTGGCAACAGTACTCCTTGCCTGTATGATGTGTCATCGAGGGACTACCACGACAGAACAAAGAAAGAAAAATGCTGGTGAACTATAGCGGAAGCGCTTCAGCAATGTTTACACTCTTGTTTTCGGAAATCAGTCGCTAGTTCCGCCTTCTCGATGACATCACGCGCGTCGTTAAAGACGGCATGCGATGAATGGTCGGGAAGCAACGTGTAGTCTGACATGTTTCTTGTCCACGACACGACAAGATTTTAGGAGTCAAAATCGTGTAATCTGACATCAAAATCGTAATCGTGACCGACAAAAATATCGTGTGGTCTGAACCCGGCACTACAGTGACGGAGAAATGAGCTGTGTGTCATCTAAAAGTTTTAGACCCCGTCAGTTTTCCACCGGAGCCGCTCCTGTCAGTTTTGTGTTCTGCGCGTGACTCAAATGCTCCACTCTCCACCCAAATATAAAAGCTGCTGTCGGTTAATGAAGGTTTGACGGATGAACTTGCCGCTCGATTGGACTCTTGTCGTGTCAGAAAGTGATAAGACTTTAAGTTTTATGGACGTCGCCATCTTTGATATTACATGGTCACTATGGTAACTGGTAAGGAATACGGGCTTGACTCCCGTTGCACGTTCATACAGACAGCATTCGAGACGCTACTGTAAGCTGCTGTGTGAACAGGACGTTTCGAGACTCACACCTGTAAGTAAATGCGGTTGTCAATCGCAAAAACTGACGGTGTGAACGTAGCCTAAGATAGGATGGAACTTGATCATTAAAAGCTTTAAAAACAAACAACAAGATTTTAAACCGAAGTCTAAAATGGACCAGGAGCCAATGAAGCAAAGCTAAAATTGGGATGACGTGGTCATATGTGACCTTGGACCACAAAACCAGTCTTAAGTGTCAATTTTTCAAAATTGGGATTTATTAATCATCTGAAAGCTGAATAAATAAGCTTTCCATTGATGTGGTATAAAAGAAAAATCTATAATTTTGACCCATACAATGTATTTTTGGCTATTGCTACAAATATTCCCCAGCGACTTAAGACTGCTTTTCTGCTCCAGGGTTACACATTTCTTTGCCCTGGTCAACAGCCTTGCAGCTGTATTTTGTACCATCTGAAGGCGTACAGTGAATTACAGTAATCTAGACATGAGGTAATAAAAACATGAATAACCTTTTCCAAGTCTTGAAAAGACAAAATCGGTTTAAGCTTGGAAATAATCCGCAGTTGATAAAACCGGTTCTTAACAACAGAATTGATTTGTTTGGTTAAACACCAAGGTTCCTAACCTGAGAGGAAATTGAGGGGAAATGATTACCCAGCTCCTTCATTTTGGGGGACCAAAAACAATTATTTCAGGTAAGCGACTTTAAGTTTGCATTCAAGGTTTACCAGTGTTTACCAGTTCACACATTCCCCGGGAATCGAACCCATGACCTTTGCATTGCTACCAACCACCGACTAACTTTTAACCCATTAAAACAGCAGTAATGGAGACCTACTTGACCCCGTCTCTCTGGAAGGGCATGAGGCTGCGTGTGACATACGGATCCACGTGTGAGAGATCGGCCTCAGGAGGGACTGGAGCTCTGGACTCACTCTTCTCAAACTGAGAGGAGAAGGACTGCAGCACAGCGGGAGGTAAAGGCTCGGTCTCCACCGTAGGCAGCTCACTCAGTTCCACCACTAAACAGAAGACATCACCATCAACTACATGCACTGTATTTTCCCAAAAATACATCACACATGACTATAAGTCCAACCCGGTCAAAACTGCATTATTGAGAGGAAAAGTCCAGAGGAAAGTCACATATTATTATGTTCAGAAATACAGTAAAATACTGGTATATAAAATGAAACATTGACAAACTATAATATAGAAACCCATTTCCACCATGAAATTAAAAAAAATTAAAAAGGTAATTTATCTCACCTTTTTTTTTTTTGTGAGACATAAACTCAGAATTCCGACTTTTTTTTCTTGCAATTCTTGTTTTATATATAAAAATAAAAAAAGTAATTGTAACTTTTTCATCTCATAATTCTGTCTTTTTCTTGCAATTGCGAGCTTATATGTCGCAATTCTGTCCTTTTTTTTCAGAACTGCAAGTCATACTTGAAAAATCCTTTAAATTTAACTGTATTCAGAAGAACAGGAATGAAAAATATAGGAATAAAACAAACAAATGTGTCAAATCACAATTCATAAGGCAACACAAGTATTATTCATTTGAAGGTAGAGTTACCTTGAAATATCTGTGCCATGAATTATATTTATACCACCACAGTAATGCAAGAAAGGGCCAAGCATTCTCATCTGCATTTGCATACTTGCATAAAAATATGTCTCTGGCCTGAGTGTGAAATGTAAACTTAAATTTATGTTCCACTATTTAATACGCACTGATTGCATTTATGCTCTTCGAAAAAGAATTCATTTAAGTGAATAAAATTAAAATGACTCACTGAGCTTCCCGTAGTCCTCAAGATGGAAATTCCACTTTCTGGTCTTCATGTCTAATAATAAACAAAGAATAAAATGTGTGCATGATACATGTGAAAGCCTTCTGGAACTTTCCACACACTTTGGTGACCCATTATTTTTTAAAAGCATTAGAGGGAAAAATCCTTTTTTTTTTTTTTTTTTGAGTGTTAAAATTAAAAAATTACAAAATTCTTCGATAAATTAAAAATACATTTATATATTTTGAAAAAGTAATTAACTCATTTTAATTACCAAAAATATAATATTAAGCTTTGTCACACATTTTGCATGCAACAGTATGGCAGGAAGAGAAGCAAACCATCTCGTTTAATTTTCACACAAATTGTAGTGTTGTAATGTATTCATCAAACTCTGTACTGTGATTAATGATTAAACAAACATCTTTAATTTATGGGAAATATAAGTTTGTCAATAACAAACTGATTGCAAAAGCTGATTTTAAATGACCTAGTCCCTACCTTAGGCTTAAACTAGCTTAAATTAAAAAAAAAACGTTTAATATTCCTATAATTTTTAGAATTTCATTTGACATTTATTTTTATATTGTATGTTTGATGCATTTTGATGTTTATTGCTAGACTTCCACCAGACTACATTGGTTGCAAAAAATAAAACAGCTCAAATAATATTTGGTTTGACCTTCTAAATCAAACTTTCACTGAACATTCGTTGAGGTTACACTTTATTTCTATAGTCCACTTTAGACTTTGCAACTACATGTCAACGAAGTCACATTATTAGTAGGGTTTGGGTTTGTAGAATAATGTGATGATAATGTACTTCACATGACTTCCTATTATAGGCCCAATTTTGTACCCCATTCATGTTTGTGGTAAATCTATTACACTCACCATAATTTTTGGATGGCATTTTCTTGAAGGTTGCAATAACATCGGCCTGGTATCCAATATCCACCTCCACCCGACAGCGAGACACTAAAACGCACTTCCCCTTTACCATGGCACCTGGTTTCTGCCAACCCTGACAGAACCTCATCAGAGCTGCCAGAGCTGCTGCATCTTTGGGTCGACTGGTGGACGCTGAAAAATTCAGCCCTTCCATCCCATCCAGCGGTTTGAGAGAGACGGAGGGTAAACTCGCTGCCTGCTCCACTGAAACACAAGCCAACTCCATTACACCCTGTGCTACAGGAAACAGATATATTTTTGCATGCACTCACTGCTTGAGTATGCTAAGTAACGTTCATGATGACATACTCAGCATCAGGTAGTCCTCAAGGCTGAAGTTCCACATCCTTGTAGCAGGATCTGTGACAGCAGATAAATGACAAATGCATAAATATTATAGGCCATCAGCTGTTTTCCTTTAAAGCAAGTTCTGACGGCACCCATTCACTGCAAAGCATCCATTGGTGAGCAAGTGATGGAATCCTACATTTCTCCAAATCTGATGAAGAAACAAATTCATCTACATCTTGGATGACCTAAATTTTCATATAATTTTCATTTTTGGGATTCCTTTAAGCTTTATTAGCACACTAAGCTCTCTGCAAATAATGACAGCAGATACGGTGTCTGTGCTCACCATAGTTCTTAGAGGGAATGCTTTTGAATACAGTGATGAGGTCCGCATAGTAGCCGACCTCCACTCGGAAACGATTTTCTGAGTGTGACACGCATTTCCCTTTCACAGACACCGCTGGCTTCTTTGCAGGGACACTTCCTCCTGCTTCAGGGAGTTTAGATGGTCGCTTTTCTCCTGTGGTCGGTTTGCTCGACTGTCCATAAAAGCTATGAGTTGCAGAAGCAACGTTGGACGTCGGAGCCGCTGTCTTTGTACAGGATCCTTTGGTGTCTATGAGCTGAGTCTGCAAAGATAAGATAAAGACCCATAATATTACTTTGTGTATTAATATATATATATATATATGTATATATATATATATATATATATATACACACACACACATACATACATACATTATATTACACACACTAGTACATGTATAATGCTTTTATGTATAATTCAGTTTAATAATAGCAATTATATGCAAAACAATTGCTGAATTTAATTGAACGCTTTTTTAAAATGAAATATTTACTTAAAACTACAGAATATTTCAAAACAGATAAGGTGAATTTTCCAATAACAAGGCTGTATGTCATTAATATTAATAATGCATTTTTGGCTGTTGTCAACTGTTTAGTTATTGACAGATAAATCAGACATCGGCTCATATGTAATTATTTTAAAGTTAAAGAAATAAAACAATAGTTGAAATCAAATCTGCACATTTTTTTAATAATGTCTAAGTAAGATGATATTTACATACTCATTTTTAGAAATATAATAAAGCTTTTTACTTGCAAAAAGTGTAAACTATCAATTAGACAACAGAATGCATGTAGTATATTGTAGCATGTAGTATATACGCTACCGTTCAAAAGTTTGGGATCAGTAAGATTTGTAATGTTTTTTAAAGAAGTCTCTTCTGCTCATCAAGGCTGCATTTATTTGATCCAAAATACAGAAATATGTGAAATATTATTGCAATTTAAAATAATGGTTTTCAATTTTAATATACTTTAAAATGTAATTTATTTCTGCGATCAAATCTGAATTTTCAGCATCATTACTCCAGTCTTCAGTGTCACATGATCTTCAGAAATCATTCTAATATGCTGATTTAATATCAATGTTGGAAACAGTTTTGCTGCTTCATATTTTTTTGGAAACTGCGATACTTTTTTCAGGATTCTTTGATGAATAAA